CAACGTTATACCGTCAAGGACCCAGAAGAGTTTCCCTACAACCAGGAGGCCAATCACAGCGTGACACGTGTCAACATCAGAAGCCAATCATAATGCAACACGTGTCAACATTAGAAGCCAATCACAACACGACACGTGTCAATGTTAGAATAAAACTAGAAACTCTCTTCTATAAATAGAGATCATTCTCTCACGATATTTCCTAATGTCATTTGTACTAAATCATTCACTAGTACTCACTAAAGGAAAGCTTGAACCTATGTACTTGTGTAAACCCTTCACAATTAATGAGAACTCCTTTACTCACGTAGACATAGCCAATCTGGGTGAACCACGTACATCTTGTGTTTGCTTCCCTGTCCCTATCCATTTACATACTTATCTACACTAGTGACCGGAGCAATCTAGCGAAGGTCACAAACTTAACACTTTCTGTTGTACCAAAGTCCTCGCTGATTTTGTGCATCAACAACGGTCAGATGGGCAATCGATTTTCATAGATGATGAAGGAAAAAGAGGTCAGATAAATCGAAATCTCAAAAATGCGAAAAAAGAGGGAAATTCCTACAGGCAGCAACTTTCTGAGCATGCTTTTAAGCACAATTGATGCCTTTATAAAAAGAAGAGACAGCAAGGCCACATGTTCAAAAATCGAAGAGGTATCTCTCTCCAAATTTCAAAAGTCGCGCCGCTTGTTCAAAAATAAAAAAGGCACCACACTACTCTTCGAATTTCAAAAGACCGATTTTCTGGAACAAAGTTTGTCGACACTTCTCAAACATAATCTCAGCTTTTCGGATATCACGGGCAACTTTGTCAAAACTCTCTGACAAAGTTGAAAACACGTGAATCTTATTGTTTAATTACCCCACTATTGCTGAAAAGGGTAAAGGAATAGCACCAATCTCTGATAAAGCTGAAAACGTGTGAATTTTAATGTTCCAATTACACCATTGTTGCTGACAAGAGTAAAGGAATAGCACCACTACTTGCTATTGGAAAATCCCTATATATGTCGACTTCCATCCTCCATGGCAAGGCAGACCTGCAAAAAAGCCTAACTCTTCTTCACCTCTGAGAATGCATTCCCAACAATGCCTCTCGAAATACTCAGTTTTCTTCCTCGCCGATAGTACCTCTTCAACCAAGTCACACCAAAGCAAAAGTATCTCATATCATCAGGGTTGAAAGCAAGAGTATCTCATATCATGTTTTTTCCCTGTCTTTTCCTTATTCCTTACTCTTACCTACTAGATAAGGAGAAAGAAAGCAATCATTCGGAATCTGAAATAAAACTTCCAATCTGGAACTGATTGCCCGAAACCTTTGCCTGGTTGCTTACCTAGCATTGCTCTCAAGTACTTATCTTCAACTGTTGTCAAGTCTTGAATTTCCTCCGCAAATACCTCAGAACAATTGATATGATGTTAGCTCTTTACATTGAAGCTACCAAGCATCGATGAGTCACTGAGAAGAGATGTTCTGAAAGACCATTCAAATGCAAAGGTTGCGCACCACTTCTGTTATGCAAAAGATTGAAGCAGAAAGATCAATGATGAACCCACATTGCCCAGCTATGGTCCCAAAGCTCGCCAATAATACAAGAATGGTTTCGAACAACGACAACAAGCAACACGTCTCTGTTACCTCAGTACAAAACCTTCAGGTCTGGCCTTGGCCACCTGCCTATTTTCACCGAGGTATTTGAATTGGTTGGAATCACATTTACAAGGGAACCTGCCAAGAACAAAAAGAAACAAGCAAAGAAGAATGCAACGATGCACAATGATGAGCTAGAACAGATCATTATAGCACGACGCCCTTCCTTGCAGAACCGCATAATCCAGATGGAGGATTCTAAGTCAAATCCAAGCTCGGCATCGTTGCTCTAATTGAAGAGCTTGAGAAGCTTCAATAGCCTTTCACTGGCACCATCGCCGAAAAGTAAAGCCTCGCCGTGCAATGCCGTCAAATCGCCATTACTTCTTCAAAAGAAAAAGTATCTCATATCATGCTTTTCCCTTGTCCTTTTCTTTGTCTTTGCTCTTACCTACAAGACAAGGAGAAAGAGAGCAATCAGTCGGAACCTGAAATCAAACTTCCAGTCATGAACCGACTACTTGGAACCTTTTCCCTGATTGCTTACCTAGCATCGCTCTGTCGGGAAAATAGACAAGGCAGCAGAAGATACCACTTCTACCTGGACAATAGATAAGGCAAGGGAGAATGATACATCGAAGCATGTGGAGAATCAACAAGCAGAACCAAACACGTGTCGATTCATTCACTACTTCTTCAAAAGCAAAAGTACCTCATATCATCAGGGTCGAAAGCACTCTAGATTTGACAGACTTGTTTTGACTCTCACATTCTTGAGTCGGCTTGCTAAGACATTGCCACGTGTAGCTGCTCGTGGTCCCATTTCATTCAAGATCAAACATCGACGGCCCTTGAAGAGATCACAAGTCTGATTCAAGATCAAGTGTCCACCAACCTTGAATCAAATCTAGCTCTAGATAAATGAAGTAAATTCAGACCTTTGAAGGAAACCAGAAAGCTCTCTGGCCAAAACCCTTCAGCCCAGTTCAAGATCAAGCCTATGGAAAGTCAACAAACACAATAAAACACATGCCGATTCATCCATTACCAAAGAAAAAAATCATCCACCACTTGAAGCTCCTTGTGGTCCAATTTCATTCAAGATCAAGCCTCGACTGCCCTTGAAGAAACTTCCAGCCCAATTCAAGATCAAGTCTTGACGACCCTTGAAGAAACTCCCAACCCAATTCAAGATCAAGCCTTGACGGCCCTTGAATCGACATTTACATTGAGGGACTTCAAAACACATCTTCTACACATGACAAACACATGTATGCGATGCGCCTTGAAGTTAGGGCATTTGTAGACATCGAAATTTCGGTGAAATAAATGTTGACCAACACATTAACATTTCAACAGGCCGAGGCATACATGTCACATGCCACGTGTCGCACAAATTGTACACATAGCGTGTGTCAACAAAATCTAACGAGTCATCAAGAAGGACACGTGTCAACACTTGGCAGAAAGGAATTATTTGGTTCTAATTTTATATTCAAAACCAAGCCTTGAAAAATTCTATAAATAGGAGACCAAGACATTCATTTTCATGGACCAATTCACTCATTCATTCTCTACACCCAAATTGGAAGAGAATTCACTCCCCACACATCCAAAAACCTTGAAGCTTTTTAACTCTAAAGCTCTCAAGCATGCAACCTCCCAAATTCCCAAGAATTCCGAAGGATCGAGAAAGCATTCTTCGTTCTTCGCCAAAGCCTTTGAAGAATCAACACCGTTACACGTCCCGGTTCTTCCTTCGCCACAAGCCAAATCCTTGAGGCAACCGTTCATCCAAGATCAAGTCACCCCAACCCTTGGATCAACAACACCTTTGATTTTGAAAAATCAACAAGCACTGCTACACGTGTCGGTTCTTCCTTCGCCGCAAGCGAAATGCTTGAGGCAACCGTTCATCCAAGATCAAGTCATCGCGATCCTTTGATCAATAACATCGCACATCTACACCTTACGGAGATTCGAATCAAAGGATCAAGATGTAAAGAGATCGTAACCTACAAATTCATTAACACAAAATTTAATTTGTACACGTGTTCTTGTTTCATTTGTCATAGGAAATTCATGTTTACAACATGCTTGCTTCGATTTATTAATCACCGCGATTAAATTATCTAATTGATTTAGTAATCACCGCAATTGAATTATCTAATTTCTATTGGAACATCACCTTAAAATTAAGTAGAACTTCTTGTGATTAGTAATTGTAAGTTCACTTAAGGCAAATATCACACTCTTAAGGGTTGCATGATTTTTCAAAGGGTTGCATGATTTTTCAAAGGGTTTTCACAAAGCTTAATGAGTCTTGCATGTTTATATTTGATCTGAACATCACAAACGGGTTGCATGTTAGATATACGTTTTCACTTGAATATCACGAGGAAAATATGCATTAGGAAAACCTAACCTTTTCAAAGCATGTATGTGGAAATTCATAAATAATTGGTAAAATTGCATAAAATTGTTAACGATGACTACAGAACCCTAGTGCTTAAATTGTTTTCCAAAATTGTTTTCTTTTGCCTTCTTTACTTTGCCAATTATTTATTTATATTTATTTGAATTCGTTTTTATTATTTTAAACTCCAAAATCAACTTTTTCAAAACTTTGTTCAAAATAATTAGCTAAGGATTACTTTAAATACAAGTTATTCATCCAATCCTTGTAGAAAACGGCATTGCTTGAGCTGCTATATTAGGATAACCTTGTACTCTTGCATGTATTTTTTAAGTATTTTTATTCCTACTTTTGCATGTGGTAAAAATCATTTCAAGAAATTGGCGTCGTTGCCGGAGATTGTTTTAAATAATTTGTGTTTATCATATTCTTAATTGATTATTTGTGTATACAAATTTTAATTTTAATATATTATTAATTTCTTTTTTCTTGCATATTGCTCAAATTTGGGTTTTGATTTTGTGAACAGCGATCAGATGGCTTTCTTCATGTAAAACAAGCATGCTAGGTCAATTGCATTCCAAAACCACAAATAAAAGCATTAGCCGCAGTTGAAAGATTGGAGGGAAACTGTTATAAAATTGGCTTGGGATACATCCGACAATCTGTCACCCCTATTTTAAGTAAGTCTTTCATTTCTTTAAGAGGCATGGAGTTCGGGCTAGCCGGACAATGAGCCAAACATCATAATTTAGTATTGAATTGGTCATTTACATGAGTCGAACCTAAAATCTATGACTTACAAATAAAGAGAAATATCATTAGATTGTAGTAAATATATTGCTCTGGTTAAATGTGCAACAAAGTGCCAATCAAATGAGATGGGCTTGGTTCAATCTAAAATTGTAACTGGCCCATGAAGCCCATTTAAGGGTAGGAAGGGGAAAATAATCGACAGATTTTAGGACTTGTTTTAGAAGACGGGTTTGGGTTTAAGAAACGGATAATTCCAGCCGGTAAATTGCACGTCAGTGCTTAAACCCCCATAAACCCAAACCCTGGAGCTTCTTCTCAGACTCCTCTGTGCCTCTCTCAATTCTCGCCGTCTTTTTTATCCTTGCAGCTTCAAAAGGTTAGAGTCTCTCTCTCTCTCTCTCTCTCTCTCTCTCTCTCTCTCTCTCTCTGTCTGTATGTATCCTGAAAGAAAACAAGGAAAAATCATCAATTTTAGAATTTGGTATTCATAAATTGGTTTTGATATTTGAAATGAAGTTGTATGTACCATCAAAAGCTTAAATCCTTGTGAAATTAAATTCTATGATATTTGGGTGTTTGAATTTGTAGGGGCTCAGACATCACAATGGAGAGGAAGGCTCGTGACAGTGACAGTGAGTTCAAGGACAATGGCGATTTCGACTGCGATGAGCTGAGTGTTACTTTGATTTGTAAATTCTGCTATTGGGTTTCGGTAATTATTTGGTTTTTCTTTGGTGAATTTGTTGTTAGTTGATGATTTGTGATGTAGATGCAGCAGGAAGAGGATGACTTTGATGATGAACAAGGAGGAAGGAGAATCAGAAAATGAGGAAGAAGATGGAGAAGAAGTGGGGGAAGAGGAAAATGGTGATGGGCAAACCTATAATAAAGATGCCGAGATGGAAGAATTCGAGAAAGAATACATGAATCTTCATCATCAGGAGCGGGAAGAGACTTCTGTTCACAATCCTTTTATTTTTAATTATAAACTTGTGATGCATCATTAGAATGAAGACATAGAGCTAAATAATGTGAATATAGGAGATAATATGCATAGCAGTTGAAGGTTGGTGATGAAATTTGATATTAGGTTATAGAAGTCATTGAATAATGTAAATAGTCCGCAAGTGTAGCTATAGGAAATGAATACTAGTGCCAATTTCATCTTAGTTCAAGGATAATTTTCAGTATCTATTTAATTTAGTTACTATGAAAGCATAAAATGGAGTTATATAGGCTGACATATGAATTTAATCTTGTTCCTCGGTTATTCTCTCTTCCCATGCAGAGATATTTTAAAGAAAGATCTTCTTAAAGGTCAAGCAGTGAAGAACCAAAATTTGCGTTGTTCAAAATAATAGCTCTTGTAATATCCATGAAATAGGTTTTGTTTTTCAACATCAAATTATTGCTCCTTCTTTAAAGCTTCTTTTTATGCCAATCCTTAAATTGAAAAAAATGATTTATATAGTGAATTATTGTCTGATTGATGTTCATTCTTACCCGTTTTCTATGCCTTTTGTTTTCATTTTTCTGAAGGCTCTCTGGGACAAAGCTCTTGAGTTCAGATTCTTGCTTCAGAAAGCATTCTCAAGTTCACATAGATTACCACAGGTCGCTTTTGCATTTCCCCTTCTTTTTAGATTTTTGACATGTTAAGATATTACGTTCTTTCCTGAGAGGTTGTCTGCAGGAGCCAATTAGGTCTTTATTTTGTGATTCACATGAGGGTGTCAATGCAGCATATTCTGGCCTAGTTAGTGTGTGCAAACTACAGGCTTTACTTGTGAAGAACCCGTCCTTTGTTCGAGCAACAGATAGTGTGTGCAAACTACATTTATCAAACTATTATAGTTATTTTGTAATACAATTTGGCTTTCCATTGTTGTGCATAATCTATCATTTTCCGCATGATAAGAATTGCCAATATGTGAAAGATCTGTAGATATGCTTTGTGTATTACATTTTGTGTTTGAAGTTTTTAATAACCGTTTAAATTCTCATAAAGTGTGTTTAGCTTATAACTATACTATTAGCTGAGATAGAGTTTAATTTTATCAAATCAAACTTTAAGGAAATGCTTCAAGTTTCCTCGATTTCATATGATTTTGAGGGTTCCCCAAATTTCAATAGTTCCACTACAACAGTTACTATAATTAGTCAGATTATGCTGGTACTAAGTTATCATTAAGAGTGTAAGAGTGTTAATCAAGAGGAATGGATTGAGCTCAGCCTTGCCCAAGCTTATCCCAAAACACAAAGCATCGAGGTTGAGCTTGGACTGGCTCAATTGTTACGTAAATCTTGGAACATCAGCTTTGGGTCTGCTGAATTGTAGTGAAGTTTGTGCTTAGTTCTGATTGAGGTCAAGCCAGTCCCAATATTTGTTGCAGTCGTCAAAAGCATAATGTTGGCAGGGAAGGTAAATCGGTTGGGCCGTTTTGTTGATCTGAGGATAGCCAAGATGAAGCCAGATTTCAAATTGCCCTAGGATATATTGACACATATCTTTCCTGCTTGATCTCATATAAACCTTAGCCTGATTTAGCAAAAAAATTGGCTTTTGGGCTACCATGGTCTAATTGACTGTCCTACTTTGTACTGTTTACATCTTCATTAACTTCATACTGCATATGTTCATATATTGCTTCTCCTAATACATATCCTGTTCTGTAGGTAAATCTGGATGATCTAAGATGTCATATTCTATTATCGTATTGAAGTATATGTGTAAAACTGAATTTTTTTTTTTCCTTCTTCATGCCATACTTCGCTGATCCATTTGGAGCAGCAAAAAAGAACTTCAGAATTTTGTTGTTTTATTGTTAAAATTCTCTTAAATGGTGCATTCAAGTAGGTTACTATTATTGCTGTATTTCAATACCTTGGTGTCTAACTTTTGTTATATTTTAATTCATAGTTCTTATCAGTTAATAAATGAGGCTATTATGTATTTAAATTTGTCAACTGTTCAATATGACATATACGAGGCAATAGTTTTCTGAAATTTAAATTCCATTAGGCACTAATTAAATTAGTTTTCTATCTAAAGGGCAAGCAAAGAACCATGAAATGCATTTGTAAATTATACTTGTAAAAAATCTATGTTGCCATATGTTTACTTTATGTATACTCTTGGGCAGTTATGCTACGAATTCTTTCATGCTCCGACAACTTCTCTTGCATGAATTTTAGAAATTTGTTATACTATTTTCAACTTTTCATTATTGGTGCATTTCCATGCGGGTTACTTGGTCCAACCAAGACCTGTCACGTTGTATCTTGTAGAATAGCTACTTTCAAAAACAAATCGATAGACAAATGGCAGAGGAAGACAGATGCAGATGAGGAAATCAGTAGTTGTTGTATTTGGTACTGTAAGATAATAACTCCCACGTGCATGCTCATTTGTGCTTCATAATTTTAAAATCATAACAAGATGGGTTTTTCTTAAGTTTTGTACATTCAGTAACTGAAACATAAGTTGTGGATGTGCAGGTTCTTGAGGGGTACAACACTGCAAAGAGAGAGGTACTGATTGCATATAATTGTGGTTAACTATAATCCTATATTAATCTGAGGATCCATCTGTAAATTCATTGGAATTGAATGTCCATGGAATTTACATTTTTTTCATGTGGTATTTGAAGTTTTTAACTCCCAAATGAGGTACAAATTCATCGTTTGGGATGGATGCAGTTTATAATTAATTTGATTTGAACAAATTTGGGTTGTTTGTGGTGTTTGGTACTTTGCTTCCATTTTCTTTTTGGATGGCCCTAGTGTGACTTGATGAATTTGTTCCTTTTATTGCTATAAGAAAAGATCATGCAACCTGTGTGTGAGGGCTGTGACAGTTTCAATACTCTTCATATGCCATTAGCTTTAATTCTATCTTTATGTTTAAAATTTTGATTCGTTTGCCACTTCGATGTGCAGCCTGTAAGGTCTGCTTTAATTATCTTTTATATGTGTTATATTTCTCTTTGCACAAATTAAGTACTTTTATTCCTTCACTCTGATAGGAGACACAATCTGATGCTGGTGCACACGCTGATGGTGACCCCGAACTTTTGGATGACTCTGAGTTTTACCAACAATTACTGAAAGAATTTTTTGGGACAATTGACCCAGCAACTTCTGGTAAAACTATTAGGCCATCTCATACTTCATATATGAATGATTGCATTTGAATTTGATATACGATACGGTTTACCCAATCTATAAGATTTCCTGTAGTTCAAAACACATGCAATCAGATTGCATATAAAAGGTGTGGCTTTTGAAATTGTTAAGGATTGTATCCTCCCAAGTGATATCCGGTATCCTCGTTAACTTGCTGCTTTGGATATGTAGAGTGGATGAATATGATTTTCAAACAATTTGGACTCGTCTAACCACCTTGAAGTGACTAAGTCTAAGCCATGAGAAAAGTTTCATTCAAACAATCTGCATCTGCAGCTATGGAAGTCAATGACATTGTATTGTCTCTGCTTATAGTGGGCTTGGAACCTAATTGATCCCGAACTTCTATTGTTCAAGTTTTTATGTTTTTGTAACTTTAAAAACGGAACAAGCTAGCAGCTATTCCTGCTAACAATCACAACCTAATTGATCCTAAACTTCTATTGTTTATTAATTCTGATTTTGCGCTATTTGATTATCTGCATAGACATTATTTTATTCCTTGAAAAAGTTGCATGCTAAGAAGAGAAAGATTGTTGACAGAAGAGCCTCTAATAGTCGCAAGTTATCAATAGATTCTTCGGTTCCCTATGTGAAACTGCAGTGATTTTGTTTTGGAATATCTTGGAGCATCTGTTGAGCAAACTGGGCTAGATTGTTTTAAGGCTTTGCATTATGCTTTTGCAGGTATAATGTTTATGAGAAGATAGTAAATTTCATGGCTCCAGAGACCATGGCCGTTTCTCCTATGCTTCCTGACCTCAATAATTTGTTCGGGTTGAAGAAGCAGAAACCAGCTTCCGCAGTGTAGTAGCAATGCAATGCTGAATCAGCTGTATAGTCCTTAGATCTCAGGCTAAGAAATTGTCTGCTGTTAATTTTATTTGATATATTATTCAATCTAATATCTGTTGTACTGATATTTATGTAATTTACACAATTTTTCAATGGGGGCAGTCTTTCAGAAGCATCATTTTGTTGTAACTGACAATTAATATCTGTAAATTTGACATTTATAAGCAGATAGGATGCTTTTGCTTTCCCCTATGCCGAAATATTTTCCCCCAATTCGAAGAATTGATTCTTGCCTGGTATTGCTAAAGATACTTATGTCAAATCCTTCCCTTGTATGTTTAGAATCGTTTTTTTCAATTATTTACTGCTAGTATACAACCATCTGTTTATCTTCTCTAGTACGGGATTGTATGCAATCAGTGGCAGGGAAGAAAAATTCTTTAGTATCACTTATGTTGTATGTATTTTATGCTATATTTATTCAATATTTGATGATGTTGAAGTTGAACACATCTGAAACTTTGATATTTTGAAGGCAGAAAACATCTTGAAAACAAGGAGGGAATCCAAAGATGTCTGGATCAAATAAAATTACAAACTCATGGATGGCTTGTGGATTATTGTCGCTTCTTTTTCTGGGAGATGGAGGACCGAACTACCAAAGCAAGTGTGAACACTAATCCGGCAGCTGTGACAAGAACCTTCCAGCCTCTGAGGCCGCAGTTGTTACTGGCAGCCTTCGTAATTGCAGTTGTGTAATCAGGTTCATCCTCTTGCCCTTCTTTGTCTGAAAAACATACAAATAACATAATATTTATGTTTTTGAATTGAATACAGACGGACTTGGAAGTGTTTGGATGGAGTATAATTCATTGCAATACAACAACACAGCATACCTGTGTCTTCTTCATCATTGTCCATGATGAGGCGATTGAACCATCTCTGCTCATAGTCATCTGTGTCTTCTACAATTTCTCCGAGGAAACCAAGTGTGTATATTCCTTGTATAATTTCCCACATTGACAAATCTCCACCGATGACAGCTGGATAATTAGGAACTGATTTGGTGTTGTGTTGGGTACTTATAATCATATTATTCTGGTACTCTTGCATAAGCTCAACACCAAACTCCTTTATCCGAAACAACTTATGTGGTCCGGCCACTATTGAAACCACCACTTCATCTCCACATTGTAATATTGTTTCGTTCTCCATCTTCCAATGACTCAACCATATCATATCTTCTTCGTCGCCTGGGATACCATAGAATAATGGGAAATAGATCCACTTCAGACCCTTGCTCTTGTTACTCACTTTGATTATCATTGGAGGTTTATCATCAGCATCATCATCATCATTATAATTAGAATTCTCCTTGTTTGCATAGGTAGCAAAGATGTTCAAGCCTCGGATTCTGTGACTAGAAGGGAGAAAAGGGACAATAAAAGATATGGAGGACTTGGTACTTTTATAGCTGAACCGGCCTGGAACCTCATTCCCAACAAAAAATGTGCTGAATATACCATATTGATACAGTCCCTATGCATTTTCCATGATCATCACAACATTACTAAGTCATTTATTTCCCACTATATATATACATATATATATATGACTTATGAGAGAGAGAGAGAGAGAGAGAGAGAGGCGCACCTGAACAGGACTCACTTTTGAACCATAGCTTGAGAATGGAAATGCGTTCATTGTAATGGGTGGCAAGGATCCCAAGTTGCACAAGCCCAAAAGTTTGATCATTTCCACATCAACTCTATCAATAGGCTCTAACTTGAAATTGTACTCCCACTCAACTATGTTGTCGTTGTCATTCCCAAAGGCCTGTAGTTGGAGCGCCACAAACGATTGATATGTTACTTTTTTCAATGATATGCAATCGGATACGTCCATTTTTTCATGTACTCTCGGCAACCCCACAAGCGATTCAAGCTTCTTACAATTACAAAAAGAGAGTTCATCGATCCTCCTCAAACCTTTGATGAAAACTGGTAGGCTACAAATTGGATTCTCATCTAGATATAGTCTTTGTATCGAGGATAGATTACTTAAATCCGTAGGAATGGCATCATCAAAAAGATTGCACCTACTGAGATTCAACTCTACTAAAGAGGAAGGAAAAGAACTCAAGTTAGTTGAACATCTTTCTGGCCTTAATGGAATACCATCTGTTTTCAGAACTTTCAGAGACTCCATCTTCTTTATCATCTCCAATGGAAACTCATAAAGATTTGAGCAACCAGATAAAATGAGTGTTTCAAGTGATTTAAGCAAACAAATATTCTTCGGAAGCATCCTAAGATTCTTGCAATCCTTCATATTCAAGGACACGAGTCTCTCTAGATTTCCAATGGATTCATGAACATCGATCAGGCTGGTGCAATCAACAAGAATCAATTCTTCTAGATTGGGGCAAAATGAGAAGTCCATGATTTCAGTGAGGGCATGGGAATGGCTGACGTCAAGGAACTTCAATGATGGAAGAAACTGTGTAAAATAAAAACAAAGAAAGAAAAAAATGTGAAGGAGTTAATTTTAACATATGCAATTGGTCAAAAAATAAAAAAAATGAATTGAAATGAGTAGAGTAATGTACTTTTGTTCCTTTCCAAACTTGTCTCAAACTACTGTATTGCATTTCAAGAACAATTAGACACCCCAAAGGAAAATCAATCGGTATAGAATCCAAAGGAAATTGAAGCCAACACAACCATCTTAATCTTGTAGGGAAATCTGCATAACATCCATCCAGCCGTACATGACTAAGATGGAGTAGTTGTAAATTGCGCATCCTTTCAAATGCATTGGTTTCCAAGACTGTCTCATTTGTGTTTATTGGTCTATTTGCAAGATGCATACGCATATCCAGGGCAAGACCTTGAATTGTTTGTGTACCCTAACAGAAAAAAAAAAGTTAAAACACTAATATGGATAATTTTCACAAGAAGAAATACATATATAGATATAAAAGGCATTTTTCTTACATTCTTTTCCCTCAATACTCTGAAAGAATCCTTATGGTGCCATAATCTACTACGTTTCTCAAGCTCTTCTGATTCCAAGCGGACAATTTCTCTTCCCATATCACGAATCATATCATGCATTTTCACCTTGCCGTATTCATCAAGTGTCACCAAGCATCTATCAATGAGATTTTGAATGCCAACAATTGTATAGAAATCACATCCATCGAGTATTCTAACAATGTAGCTTTTGTTCCTTCCTATTAGAAAACAAGCAATGTGGAGGAATAATTTCCGGTCATGATCATCTTGTAAACTGTCATAGCTTATTCTTTGTTTACTCATGATTTCACCATTAGGGATAACTTTTAGCTTCTCCAATGCCCTTTCCCATACATCTATACTTTCCCCTGATAAAGAAGAACCTAAAACTCGAAGAGCTAATGGAAGTCCGCCGCAGTGACTTACAACCCTTTTTGAATATTCAATGTAACCTTCAAGGGGTTGGTCCTGGCCAAAAGCATGCCTACTGAAAAGCTCTAATGATTTATTGTAATCCAAAGTTTCAACTTCGTGCACCTTTATAACTTCATGTGCCTTTAACAACCTTTCACGCCTAGTTGTTATAAGTATCTTACTTCCCGGATAAAACTGATCTTTTATCTTTAGTACTGCATCTAATTGGTCCATATGGTCCACATCATCAAGAACAAGAAGCACTCTTCTAGAGCTTATGCCTCTTTCAATCTTTCTTAGTCCCTCACTAACACCATGTATTTTCACTTCTCTGTCGTTCAAAATATCAGCAAGAAGTTGCTTTTGTATTTGAACTAAGCCATTTGGTTGATCTGCTGTTTCTCTGATATTTTCAATGAAACTACTTCCTTCAAAGCTTCTAAAGTTTGAATTGTAAACATGTTTTGCAATGGTTGTCTTCCCTATTCCAGACATGCCATACACAACCAGTATACCAACATTGGTTGATCCATCTTGTAACCACAAATTGATGTCTTCGACTTGAGATTCAATTCCAATCAATTTTGGTTCAACACTAAATGGTGAGCAACTTAGCTTGTCTCCAACCACTTTAACAATTTTTGTGATAAACTTTGACTCATACCTAAGAATTTACAAACAAAATGAAAAATAAATCAAACATGTTATGTATCACAGAAGTATTGGATGAATGAATAATGAATTAGGGAATTTAGAATGAATAATGAATTAGGGAATTTAGAATGAATCATGAATTGGGGAATTTAGATGAATAATGAATCAAACAAATGTAGACTAACATGGAAAATGACTAATCCTTAAGTTGAGTCTAAGTGTGATTTCTTTAAGTTGACCTAAATTGGGATTATTATTCACTACTGAGATTGAATTAATAAATATATAAAAATCTAGGACACTACGGATCATACATCAAATTGACTCAAGAAAGAGAAGAGAAATGGAGATAATGAAAGTTACCCATCAACTTGAAATGGAGATCGAAAGTTTTTGTTAACTTTTTGTGTCTTAGGTCCTTCAGGTAGACTACCATGGAAAATGTGATTTCTTTAAATTGACTGAAGAAAGAGGAGAGAAATGGAGAAAATGAAAGTTACCCATCAGCTTGATTTTGTAAGACGATGCCTGCTAGATCTGCAACCTCTGCAACTGCCTCCCTCCATCCCTTCACCTTTTTCAGCGACTGAGTTTTCTCGTGCCTAGCAAATGCTTTTCCAACACTTCCCGTCTGCTTCCTCAAGTGGGACGGATCGACATCGTAGAAGACTGGTAAAACTACATGGTCCGAGGTGGTCCTCCTGCGTTCAAGGATCAGCACAAGCTCATCAAGGCACCATCTGGATGACGCGTAATCTTTCGAAAACACGACAACAGAAGCTCGTGACAGCTGGATCGCTTTCTGCAGTCCTGGCTTGATATCTTCTCCTCTCTCAAGTTCATCGTCGTCTCGGACCGTGAGAAATCCTGCGTTGTTCAAGGCTGTGTAGAGATGGTCGGTAAAAGTCTTGCGAGTGTCTTCGCCTCTGAAGCTCAAGAACACGTCGTACCGGTAACCCCGAGAAGTGTTGGAATCAAAGGAGGTTCCTGGAGATGTTCTCACAAGAGCCATGGATGGATGAAGAACCAAGTCAATGCTTGTTTTTGGTCAAGCAAATGCTAAATGGAAAAAAAAATGTATTTCGCTCAAGGAAGTGTCGTAAGCGATGAGCGAGGGGGGATGGTGGTCAACAATTATTATTGGAGGTGTCGGTGCCCATACAGAGGCAAGCCAAATTTTGTTTAGGTAAATACTAGACAGATTAAATTTGTAAACTAAATTATGTATCACTAATAAAAATGAACATATTTATCAACACGCTAAATTAATAAATCAATCATCAAATTTCATGTCCTTTAGTTTCCAAAATTTAGGCTACAAATTTAGTTTCTCTAGCATTACCATTTTATTTATATCTTCTCGAATATGTTGGTGCAGTATTTTTTTTAATTATTAGTAAAAAGGGAGTAGCCACTTAGTACTATGGTCTAGTGGTATTCTTCTTTACTGGTAAGTGAGAGGTCTTAAGTTCGATTTTCGCCAAAGACGAATTTGAACAACATTATTGCTAGCCTATTATAAGGCTAAGCCCATCCATCTCTCATTAATGTAAATAATATCGATTGTGCAAAAAAAATATATATATATTATTAAAATAGAAGATGAGTTTGAAATTATTACAATACATTATGCAACACCCTATAATATCCTAATGAATATGAAATCACATGCAATATTTTTTTTTATTCATTGTTCAATCGTGGATGAATAATACCAACTTAGTCTACCGTTACTTTTGTTGATTATTTATTATTTTATTTTATGAGAGATTTTTTTATGCAACCAAATTTTAGTTTTAGTGACGTTATTGTTCAATAAATATTTGTCATAAGCACAAAAAATGCATACCCGTCTAATAAACGATTTGTCTCTTATAAGTGGATGAGATAAGAGAAACTCTCCCCGTCGGATTGATAAGAATGGTGAAAATAAAGGATATGGCGTACACGGCATCCAAACCGTTGAAATACACTTCCATTTTTTTAATGTCATGTATTGATTATATTTTAGTAATTAGGATAAATGAGAGCTTTGACAAATTAATCAATGCTCTGAATATGGTTGCATAGTCCTCTGCCCACTCCTAATGTGAATCATCAAGATGTGTGTATTTGACTATGGTGACCTTAACAAACTAAAAATTGAGCCCGCGCAATACTGCAGGTTTTAAAACTGTGTTAAACATGTGGAACATATTAAAATCTATTTACATCCATATCAAAATTTATTTGCATCCTTATGTTCAATAAAGAACAGAAGATAAGTGTTCGTAGAATATATTACATAACAAAAGGTGTGGATTAAGTTGTTTATGAACACCTTATCAAAACTCAACTGTTATTATATGGAAGTATAAGTAAAGCAATTAACTTTTCTTGCGAAAAGAACAAACTACAAAACAAAATTCACCAAGAGAAGCGATAGAAATAGAATAGCAAGAACCCCAAATACTTTCATGAGGAAAGAACCAGCTCACTTCAACTTCTCTGGGGACATCTCATTCGAAGCCAACTTCTTATTAGGGAACTTCCGAGACTGGTCTCATATCACGCTCAGGTACTGCAGAAGAAAACAAATGCAAAAACTGATCCAATTTATAGTAATCGATTAGTTAACACGTTGGTTAACCATATTCCGAAACATGGAAAAAAATCATTGACCTATCAAATTATCTATCGAGCCATGAAAAAGTTAGTAAACATTTTAAGAGGGATGAATTGACCAAAACCCGAATAAGGCATCATCTCATGAGAAGCATCAAACAAATCAAAAAAATTCTGGTATCTAAATATCACAGTTCAGTATGACCTAATCTGCATAAAGCATACTTCAGTTTTAGGCTTTTTTCTTTCTCCGCTATCTGAACCTTACATTTCTTTTCTACTATTGATCTATGATACCAAAAACTTTCATTTAATTAAATCTTAAATTAAACAGAGCAGTTCAATTTTATTCAACTACATAGAGGGAGAGGGAGAGGGAAAGAGAGAGGAGAGTGACATGAAACAGAGAAAGACATGATGCCATACAAAGAAAGACATGAAACAGAAACTAAAAAGGCCCCACCTGGACATTGCTTTCTTCCATTAATATTTCCTTGGCCTACTAACAGAGCATCCTTACCTATATTAACCAAACAAATTAAGATGACAATTATTTTATATAATGAAAAAGAAATATGCAGCCTTAAAGAAACTCTGAAGAAACCATAAGAAAAAAGGTCATTCAAACAAACATTAATTTGATCATGCGTGCACTTTCAGTAACAAATTTCCGGTTTGTTGCTCATTACCGCTTCCGGAAAACAAATTGTTTGGTCTTATTACATATAATAGTGTACAGGCTGGTGAACCATAGAACATAGCCAATGTTCTGAATCCAAGAAGCACTACAGCAACTCAGTTTCAAAGCTAACATATCTTGTAAAGTATGCTATCAGCCTAGCATACCCACACAACCCTTCATCCCTAACAAGAAATATGGATATGCTTACACGCGCTATAAAGCATATACCGCAGCATGTACATTATTTGGCAAATCAAAAGGGGTGTAGACTATAGAGTTTCCTCCAAGAATGGAACGTAAACAAAGGAGGTTTAACATTACTGATTTCAGTACTGTCCAAATAAGGAAGAATTCAAGGTATCTCCTTAACAACGTATTACAATGTTCACATTAAGCCAATTTAAGAAGCTTCTCTTCCATCTTTATCTCTTCTAATTTCAAAGAACACAACAATGAAAACTGCTTCTTTTCCTCCCATCCTCTCACCGTCCAAAAACAGAGCACTAATCTTAGTAGTACATTACAAAAAATCCCATTTAATTAACAAAAAAAAAAAAAAATATTCCAAGAATCTAAGTTCATAACCAACAACCAATCATCAAGAACAAACCCCATCAAGCCCAAACCCAATATAGACGCCGCTAACATAATTACCCAAAATTCACTACAACAAAAAGTACTAAAATTTCAATGCTCATCGTTTGGATCAAATGAAATTCTCATAAATTCATGGAAAATCCTGATATGAATGCTCACAAGAGATGAATAACATATAAATTTAAACAGAAAAAGAGAAGAGAAAAGTTATAAAAAATAACTCAACAGAAACAAATAGGCAATAGTTATACTAAAATAACAATTAATTGAAAGCTACGAAGAAAAAGAGCGATAGGGGATAAAAACTTAGAATTCAGCAGAGAGTATATTCCCAATCTAATTATTGACAAACTCCAGCACAAAATACCCAGGTCTGTTCAGAAATAAAGGTCAGTTCATGCGGATTTGGAGGAAGAAAAGGTTCAAAAATTAATCATCCAACTTAGGACGTATTGAAACAGCTCGGCAGCTTTTTTGTATTCATTGAGGGTCTTACGCTCAACTGCACATTTTATACTAGAGGATCTTTTAGGACGGATTCTAACAGTTCGGCAGTTTTTTTTGTATTCTTTCACTTGCAACTTGCGAAGTCCTTCATGATAAGTGAAAGATGGAATTCCTGACATGACCAAATTAAACAGCATGAACTCTATCTAATCACTAATTAGAAAAAGAAAACATCATCAGCTGAGAAAATCTAAACGGTTCCAAATTAGGCTACCACACAGTAAACCAGCGTTCAGTTCACATTTTCCCGCTCATTCAGTTTGTTGAAACTGAGAGAAAGTATAACAGACTTCCCAAATATTAATGCTACACAGAATTCAAATTTCTCTCCTTCATTCTTTCATTCTTACTAAATTGACTTCTGCTAACAATGCTCGACATTTACACACAATGCAATCCCAGAAAACCCAACTCATTGAGCTAATTCAAACAAAAAAATTAGCTTACTATAAAAGAAAAGAAGAGAGAGAGGCATGCCTGAGCTTCTTTGGTGGGAGACAAAGGTTCCCATTTTCTTTTGCGCTCCCTATCATTTTCTTTTTCTTTCTTTCTTTTTAAATCCAAGCCGTCAGATCCTCTGATCATTTGCACTCCGTATCATTGATTGCTGCAGTTGAGAACTGAAAAAGCATGGAATTTCAGAACTTAAACACCGAAAAAAAAAATCGAATAAAATTCAAATTAAATTAAATAAACTCGACCGAATAAAAGAAGCGTTTGAATTACTCACCATTGTCGAAAATTCGAATGCAGTAATGGAGGAGGAGAACCAAAGAGGAACTCTGTTCAGCTAGTACTACTTCTATTTACTGAAAAGGGGATTAGGGTTTTTGGTCTGGAAATTTTACCCCAACAATAATTTGATCAGAGCTGACTGACTAGTGTTATGCCCTTTATCTCGTAGTGAAGTATTAGATATATGGTGACTCAGCACTTGGGTTGTGTAAGTCTTTTGTCTGTAGTGATTGATGCGGGTATTTACCTTCCCATTATAATTCATTTTGGAAATGTTTGAATTTTGTGGACCCAAATATTTGAATTTGGGTTCAAGGGTTGGAGTTAGAGTTGGTCGTAACACTTATCTTTTAGGTTTTGGCAGAGATCTTCAATTTTAATTTCACATGTTTCTTAATATTAAAAGAATAAAATACTATTTCAAACCGGGTCAAATACTAGGAGAGGACATGTAAAAATGTATGGGGGTTGATACTAGGAGATTACATAAGAGCAAGTTCACCGGGAACAAAATGTCCCAGCCCTCAATTCAAAAAACAAGCCAGCCCTCAGTGAATTTGCTCCAGCCCACAAAGTTGCCTGGCACCCAGCCCATGCTAGGCAACAAGCCAGCCCAATTTTGACAGACCAAGAAGCCGGCCTATTTGGCTGGCGCGTGCACGACAAGCGCGCCTGGGCGCGAGTAGCCAACAGGGGCTGTCAGCCCACTTGTGCTCCGGATCCCATCAGCGACGTGGCATGCTCATAGTCGTTGGATTTCCAACGGCTAGTTTTTCTAGACCGTTGGATTTCCAACGGTAAAAAAAATTAAAATTTTACTTTTAAAATAGACCGTTGATCATAGATCAACGGTCCACATTAATTAACTAAATTAAAATTTATTAAAAAATACAGAAAATTTAAAAAAAATTAAAATTTTTTTTTCTATAAATACCTAACTCTCATCTTCCACCTTACACCACATTTCAATATTTTCTACACTTTCTACCAAAGTTTTCATATACTTTTTGTGTGAAAAAAAAATACCAAAAAGCTTGTGGTTGAAGAATAAAGTGTATTTGATGAGTTTATGTAATTTCATTTTAGTGTGTTTTTTTTTATAGTTTATTTGATGAGTTTATGTAATTTTATTTTAGTGTGTTTTTTTTTAAGTTTATTTGATGAGTATGTAATTTTATTTTAGTGTGTATTTTTTTTTAAGTTTATTTGAAATTTTATCTGAAATTGGTTAAAAATCTTATCTGAAATAAACTTAAAAAAAAAATACCAAATAAATGCGTTGGGTGCCAGCGCATTTTTTTAGGGGTGGAGATGTCTTGGCCTATTACTGTTCACTCCAGTATATTACTGTTCACTTAAGTGGATAAATGCGCTGGGTGCTGGCGCAAAGTCCTTAGGGGTGGACTTGCTCTAATGCGAAGATATATGGGGTTGAATATATCAGTACAAAAAAAAAAAAAAAAAAAAAAAAAGAAACCTATTCTCTCAATTCAAATTTGTATTGAAGGGGATTGATACTAGGAGTTTCCAATTTCACTAGTTTGCTTTTGTAAGACCATGCCTGCTAGGTCTGCAATCTCTGCAAGTGCCTTCGTCGGATTGATAAGAATGGTGAAAATAAAGGATATGGCGTACATGACATCCAAACTGTTGAAATACACTTCCATTTTTTTAATGCCTTGTATTGATTATATTTTTGTAATTAGGATAAATGAGAGCTTTTGACAAATTAGTCAATGCTCTGAATATGGTTGCATAGTCCTCTGCGTAAATCATCAAGATGTGTGTATTTGAGTATGGTGAGCTTTAGCTAACAAACTAAAAATTGAGTCCGCGTGATGCCGCGGGTTTTAAAACTGTGTTAAACATGTGAAACATATTAAATCTATTTACATCCATATCAAAATTTATTTGCATCCTTATGTTCAATAAAGAATAGAAGATAAGTGTTCGTAGAATATATTACATAACAAAAGGTGTGGATTAAGTAGTTTATGAACACCTTATCAAAACTGTTATTATATGGAAGTATAAGTAAAGCAATGAACTTTTCTTGCGGAAAGAACAAACCACAAAACAAAATTTACTAAGAGAAGCCAAAGACTTTCATGAGGAAAGAACCAGCTCACTTCAACTTCTTTGGGGACATCTCATTCGAAGCCAACTTCTTCTTAGGGAACTTCCGAGACTGGTCTCATGTGACGCTGAGATACTGCAGAAGAAAAAAAAAAGCAACAACCGATCCAATTTATCGTAATCGATTAGTTAACACGTTGGATGTGTGGGCACACGAGAAAGGATAAGATTAGGAATGAGGATATCCGGGGTAAAGTAGGAGTAGCCGAAATTGAAGGAAAGATGAGAGAAAATCGGTTACGGTGGTTTGGACATGTGCAAAGAAGGCCTACTGACGCTCCGATTAGAAGATGCGACTATGGGACAGAGGTTCAGGGCCGAAGGGGTAGAGGAAGACCTAGGAAAACTTTGGAAGAGACTCTAAGAAAAGACTTAGAGTACTTGGATCTAACGAAGGACATGACACAGGATCGAGCACAATGGCGTTCTAAGATTCATATAGCCGATCCCACTCAGTGACTTGGATTTTCCAAGTCTCCAACCGAGAAGTTTTCCTCACTCGGGAAATTAAGGGAACACTACCCCAACCTATATGCTCCACTCAGAAAGCTTCAACATACAAGTTTCAACAAAAGAAAATTCAAAGAACTTAGCGAAGAAGGCTTTGGTGTATTTAACACAATACGTTGAAATGAAGGAAAGCTTATTTATTGATATCCCCGATAAGCTACAAATATGTACATATACATGAGTCAAAATAAACTACAAGAGGGAGCCTTCACAAAGGTTGCTTAGGAGAAGTCTCAGCAGTCGGTAGAGCCCCAGAAAGAGAAGGCACCGGAGGGGGATCATTTGGAGCCTCAGTACTGGACAGAACCCTAGAAGGAGGAGGCATCAGAGGTTGATCATTTGGAGCTTCATTACGCGGTACAGCCCCAGAAGACGAAGGCAATAAATGCCTTTGGAACAAACCCACAAATCTCTGATGATCAAGTAAAACCTGACCATCAGTTTCCTTCATCTGGTCAAGCTTCCTCTTCATGTTTGTAGCATAGTCATGTGCGAGCCGGTGCAACTGTTTATTCTCATGCTTGAGCCCCCTAATCTCCTGTTTGAGACTCATCACTTCAGCCGCCAATGATTCAACTTGGCGGGTTCGAGCAAATAGGCGTTGGGCCATATTAGACACAAAACCTGCACACTGAACACTGAGAGCCAGCGAATCCTTAACAGCTAACTCATCAGACCGTTTGGAAAGTAGTCTGTTATCTTTGGGAGTGAGAAGGTTCCTGGCCACCACCGCAGCGGTCATATCATTCTTCATCACGGAATCCCCAACGGTAAGAGGACCAGTAAGGGAGACGAAGGATGGGCGCCATATGTTGTCTGGAGAAGGCAGGGCTGCCTCTTCAACAAGGTTCAAGTCAAAACGACGGTCGGAGGGGCCAGACATTTTCAAAGGTGTTGAAGAGAGAAGAGGTCGGACAAATCAAGATCTTAGAAGTGCAAGAATGAAGCTTCTACTGGTGGAGATTCAAGTGTGCTTTGGAACTTAATGCCAGCCTCTATAAAAATCTGCACTCGACGGAGCTTCAGAAATCGAAGAGGCGCCTGCTTAGAAATCGAAGAGGCGTTTGCTTTCTCAAAAGCTGGGCTGCTTAGAGATCACGAGGGTTGATCTCAGAAATCGAAGAAGCGTTTGCTTTCTCAAAAGTTGGGCTGCTCAAAGACCACGAAGGCCGATCTAAGAAATCGAAGAGGCGCTCGCTTTCTCAAAAGCTGGGCTCCCCAGAGACCACGAGGGTCGATCTCAGAAATCGAAGAGGCACCTACTTTTCCAGCCTTGTCAGCACCTGTCACACGCACACTCAGCTTTGCGGAAATTATGGGCATTCTGTCAAAGACTTCTGGGGAAGTAGAAAACACATGAATCTTACTGTTCAATCACCCACTTCCCACACGCAACAATAGCTCATGGGTACCATAGATAACTTTGCCAAAGTTCTCTGTCAAAGTTGAGCACGTGAAGCTTGCAGCTCCCATTACATCGCTCTGACCAAGAAGGGTAAAAGAATAGCAATGAAACAGCACTAACAAAGTTTAGACCCATAAATTTTGAAGGTCTAGCTACCATATTATTACCCACAAGGGTAAAGGAACAGTACCACTGCTGGATAATTGGAAAGTCCCTGTGTGTCAACCTTTGTGCTTCGTGGCAAGGTAGACTAGCAAACATGCCCAACCTTTACTCACATTCGAGAAAACACTCCCAATAAGATTGCTTGCTCCAAAATCGAAGAGGCACCGTCCTCCGAATCTCAAGAGCCAGACACCCAACATGACTACTTTCTTAAAAATCGAAGATAGGGTAAAGGAATAGTACCATTGCTGGATAATTGGAAAGTCCCTGTGTGTCAACCTCTGTGCTTCGTGGCAAGGTAGACTAGCAAACATGCCCAACCTTTACTCACATTCGAGAAAACACTCCCAACAAGATTGCTTGCTCCAAAATCGAAGAGGCACCGCCCTCCGAATCTCGAGAGCCAGACTCCCAACATGATTACTTTCTCAAAAATCGAAGAGACACTGCTCCCCGAATCTCGAGAGCCAGACCCCCAGCATGATTGCTTTCTCAAAAATCGATGAGGCATCGTTCTCCGAATCAATCGAAGAGGCGCTCACTTTCTCAAAAAGCTGGGCTGCTGCTCAGAGACCACGAGGGCCGATCTCAGAATTCGAAGAGGCACCTACTTTTCTAGCCTTGTCAGCACCTGTCACACGCACACTCAGCTTTGCAGAAATTATGGGCATTCTGTCAAAGACTTCTGGTGAAGTAGAAAGCACATGAATCTTACTGTTCAATCACCCACTTCCCACACGCAACAATAGCTCATGGGTACCACAGATAACTTTGCCAAAGTTCTCTGCCAAAGTTAAGCACGTGAAGCTTGCAGCTCCCACTACATCGTTCTGACCAAGAAAGGTAAAAGAATAGCAAAGAAACAGCACTAACAAAGTTTAGACACATAAATTTTGAAGGTCTAGCTACCATATTATTACCCACAAGGGTAAAGTAACAGT